CGCGGCTCGCGGCTTCTGAACCGAAGGGATCTCGGGGTAGGGCGGGGTCCAGAGCCGGCCGGGAGGACGCCTGCGGGTTCGCAGAGAGAACCGGAACACTCTTGAGGCACTGAGGCAAAAGTGAACAGCGTGGGCCCGGGTAGCTCAGTCGGTAGAGCATCAGACTTTTAATCTGAGGGTCCAGGGTTCAAGTCCCTGTTCGGGCGCAGGTTCTTCTTTTAACAGTCGTTTTGCACAATGGGAGCCGGTGTTGGGGTGTACCTGTGCCTGCGGCATTTAGAGAAAGCAGTGTTCGCATCCGCGATGGCCACCGGGGCTCCTCGCCCGGGTCCCCTGGGTCCGGAGCCCGGCTTCCTCCGGAGGGGAAGAGGCCGCTCCCACCGCGTAGCCCTGGGAGCCAGGACAGCCACGCACGCTTCTGCCCAGTCGGGTGCCTGAAAGCGGGCAGTGACACAGGCGGTCACCAGCATCAAAGAGCTTTCCACCCCGCGACGAAACAAAAGAGAGACAGGAGTCAGGAGAGGGCCGGTGCGGAGAGCACGCCCGGATCCAGGAGCCCTGCGCAGTGCAGCGGTCGGCCGGCAGGTGCCAAGGCCCTGCGGTGCGCTCCTATCCCGGAGGACCGGCCGGGCGGCTCGACGTTCTCCCCGCTTCTTCCTCCTCCTCCTCCTCTTGCTCCTCCTTGTCTTCTTCCTCTTCCTCGTCCATCCCATTCTTTTCCTCCCCCTCCTCCTCTTCGTCCTCTTCCTCGTACCCCTCTCTTCCTCCTCCTCCCCTCCTTCTTCCTCTCTCTTCGCTTCCCCTGTCCTCTCCGCCTCCCTCCTCAGTTCTTTCAGCCGAGGAGGTGGCTCCGCCTCAGCCCGGATCGCGGCCCGGTGCCTGGCAGGCCTGGTTCGGTGCCGGGCCGAGGATGGGGCGCCGCGGGCCTGGGGACGGAGGGGGGGACCTCGGAGTCCCCGCGAGCCCCGGGCCGGTCTTCCTCCTCGCTCTTCTCGCCCCGCAGCCCCAACGGCACGCGTTGGGAGGCAGAACTCGGAAGGGAAGCGAATTCTTATTCTTTAACTTTGCCATTGGCGGGGAGAAGGACGCTCCCGTCCTTGATGAAATAGCTCAGTTGGGAGCGCATTAGACTGGAGGTCGAAGGTCTCTGGTTCGATCCCGCGTTTCAGGAGGCTTTTGTCGGCCGAGCTCTTTCTGTGGCTCTGTGTTTACTGAAGTTTTGAATAGAAAAGTACCGCGTGTCAGTTGTAAGGGGAAAAATGACCCAAAGACAAGGAGGAACCTTCTGGCAGTGTCTCCTCTCGCCTGTGAACTCCCGGAGTGGAGTGGATTTTAAAATAGGTTCCGCCCGAACAGGGACTTGAACCCTGGACCCTCAGATTAAAAGTCTGATGCTCTACCGACTGAGCTATCCGGGCCTTGTGAAGTGCTGTCGCCCTCCGCCTAACCGCGGCCCAAGGTGGCCCGCTCTCTTCCTGCGAGAGTCCTTCCCGGGTGGCCGAGGCGGCGGTGCAGCAGACGGGGCCTGTCGCGAGTTGTTTGTTAGTAAGAAAGTATGTAATATTTAGGATTTTTTTGAAGCTTCTTTATTATCTTGGGAGAAGGTCTAAAGCTTTTATAAAAAACCTTCCTTTATATATCCTGTTAATTATATTAATTTGATAGAAATAAGAAGTTATAAGATCATGATTATAGTATATTTTGATCATTATTAGGGGAATAAACTTTAGGCAGGGAGTAACCATAAAAGTAATGTCGCCATCCCAGAACAAACATCTTGATCAAGGATGACTTAAACAAAGAACTTTTGTAAATAAGCCACAATCCCAACACAGCTCAGCAAACAGGAGATTGAAATTCCTCACGATGACTTGGCAGCCTGCAGTGTCTGCAGACCAAAGCACTCCACAGGGGCCGGGACGGGGGCGCCGAGACTGACCGGGGAAAGCGCGGTCCGTCCTTGACCCCGCGCCCTGGGACCGGCCGGCTCCACTCGGATCCGAGCTTCGCAGAGGCTGCGATTTCTGAGCGATCGGCAGAGAAGCGGCCGGTCCTGGAAAGTCACAGCAAGCTCCGTCCCCGCCGACCCCACACACAAACACTCGTATCCCTCAGCCTCGGAGGCCAGGCCCGGGCCCCCAGAACTTCAACTCCAGCCTAGCAGGAGGGCGCAGAGCGGGGCCGAGTCCTCCCGAAGCCGAAGCCTCCTCCCGCCGCCCGGCCGGCTCCTCCTCCCGGCCCTGCAGCCGCTCGCCGTGGAGGTCGTGACCCTGGGTTCTAACCCGGCCAAAGGGACCCAGTGAGTGTTCAGATTGAGACTCCGACATTTGCACGCTGAGAGCCCAGCTGGGAACCCGGGAAGCGGGGTTCGAACCCAAGGGGTTGGGCCCGAAGCCCGACGCCCTAACCGCTCGGCCACTCGGGTGGCCGGCGGAGCGGCGTTTTCCTGCCGAGCAGGCTCGGGCACCAGGGATTGGAGTTTCCGAACAATTCGGGGATTTCGGATCGAGAGATCAGCAGGAAACAACCGAAGTCAGCCCGAGTGACCTCGATCGTATCTCGCTGACGTTTCGGATTGGTCCCTAGAAATTAGAGCCTCGCGAAAGCGATGGAGGAGACGGGGGTGGGGGTCCCTGCACCCCGAACTCGGGGGCCTCTCCCTCGCTGTAGCGTCGGCCTCTCTCCCTAACTAGGGCCCTTACCAGGGAAGATCACAGGGTTCCGCTATTTTTAATTTTATCTCTACTTTGTCAAAACAAAAGCGACTCTGGTGGGACTCGAACCCACAACCTTTGAATGCCTCCGTCTGTCTAGAAGTCCAATGCGCTATCCATTGCGCCACAGAGCCAGACATTTTAAGCTTGTGTCGCGCTGCATACAGCTCCGTGGCGGGCGCGCGTTCTCGTCCCGGGCCCCGCCGGCGTTCGGCGGAGGAGCCCGGAGCCTGGAGCGACGCGGAAAGCCGGGAAGGGCCTATTCTGGGCGCGGGCTGAGGGCTGCGTGCGGAATTACTATGCCAGGAAGAGATGAAGTCCAATGCGGTTCCATAGTGTAGTGGTTATCACGTCTGCTTTACACGCAGAAGGTCCTGGGTTCGACCCCCAGTGGAACCATCAGGGAGTGTTTGCGTTTTGAGAGTGCTGCGTACTGCAGGCTCCTTTTGCGATCTTGGGGTTCTGGGTTTCGTTAGGAATCTGGAGGTGCTGCCGGGTTCTGTTTCCCGGTGGCGCCAGGCCCAGATCGCACCGCGCCCCTCGTCGTCGGGCTCTGTTCCTAGGCCCCACTCCGCGTGGTCCCAGGGTAATTTGTCTACTCCTGCACAGTACGTCACCGCGTGCCTCTTAAATGCCTGGAAATTGAATCGGTCCCTTGTGCACGGTTCCATAGTGTAGCGGTTATCACGTCTGCTTTACACGCAGAAGGTCCTGGGTTCGAGCCCCAGTGGAACCACTGCTTGGGGTTTCCATTTTTTTAGGGGAGAATCACACCATGTAGGTTAAAAGGCCACATTTTGTTACGTCCAACTGGAGACGCGCTAGCCGCCCTCTTCGCTTCTTTCCGCGCTTGCCGCCCGACTGCACCGGCCAGTTCTCGGGGCGCTCGGGTAGCCTGCGGCTCGCCGCTGCCCTCTCGTGGCGGCTCTACGGAGGTGCAACATTCCCGCGGCTACTGTTGGAGTTGGTCTCATTCCGCTCCTGTCTTCCTCGCGATTCCGCGCGGGCCGCCTTGGAAGCCGGGACCCCGCTTACTGCAATTAAAAGTACATTAAAAGTAAGCTAGCACCAGGCACAAGACATACGAAGCCCTCCAAGTGTCTTCCTTCAAACTCCTTTGTCCAATTTTCCATTCTATTTTTCATGATTTCTTTTTTTCTCTTTTTTTTTGTTTTTGTTTTTGTTTTTGTTTTTTGAGACAGGGTCTCGCTATGCGGTTGAGACTGACCTGGAACTCACTGTGTAGCCCAAGCTGGTCTCGAACTCATAGCGATCCTCCTGCCTCAGCCTCCAGAGTGCTGGGATTACAGGCGTGTGCCACCAAGCCCGGCTTCGTGTTTTCTCCTTGAAATCTAGGTTTTTGTCTTTTTTTTTTTCCTTGTGCTTTGCTGTTTTTGCGGCGGGGCCCTGAGCTCCGGGCTGCGGCCCACAAGTGCTCTGGCCCTTGCTCCGTCCACAGCTCAGGACGAGTCTGGAAAACCCGAAGCTGTGTTTCTTATGCAGGAAGATGGAGGAAAAACATGCGTGTGACTGTTGGTCAGGGAGAAATTCTTAAATATTCTTAATATTTCTTAAATATGGCACAAAAGATGACCCATACACTAAAACATTAATGCATCTGATTTCATCAAAATTAAACACTTCTCTAAAGAGACACTATTCAAGGAAAAGAAGTCACGAATTGAAAAATAATATTCGTAAGAGGCTCACCTGATAAAAGGCTTGTATTCAGTATTTATTTAAAAAGCCCTTGTAATTCACGAATAATGAAACCAACAGCTACAGAGGAAACGGGCCGCACCTGAGAAGGCGCCTCCCGAAGGAGGCCCTCGGGAGACAGAAGGCCGAAGAGGCCCGCGTGTCCGGGCAGGAGCGAAGCTCGCCGGAACCACGAAAAAGCACTCTGCAGGCCCACGGGCAGCGCCACAACACGAGATCTGCACCGTGGGGCTCCCGGGCCCGTGGCTGGCGAGGATGGGCCCGAGGCACAGCCCGTGGGAAGGGGCTCCCGAGGCAGAGCCGAGTCTTTCCAAGTTCCGGGGCTGCGGATCCAGCACAGGGCGGTGGCCGGCGGGGCGCCCGGGCTGCCGTCACAGTGCTGTCTTCACCCACGCAGCGGAGGGCCAGGGCACGCTGAGAATTCTGTGTTTTTTCTTTAGTTTTTCTTTAGTTTGAGACGGGGTCTCGCTATGCAGTTGAGACTGACCCGGAACTCACTATGTAGCCCGGGCTGGTCTCGAAATCACAAGGATCATATATTTATTTTGCTCTTTATTGGGAACGGGGGATGTCTTTTGAAAAACATTTTTGAGGGTCTCGCTATGTAGCTCCGGCTGACCTTGAACTCATAGCGATCCTCTGTCCTCAGCCTCCCACGTGCCAGGATTGCAGGCCTGGGCCACCCTGCCTGGTTCTTTCCGTTTTCCAGTGACGTGTTACTCCTTCTCAGGGCACGATGGTTATTGTTATACAGGTCATCTACTTCCTTTAATATGTTAACTTCTAGATATTTAATTTTTCTGCAAACTGTTGTGATTGGTGTTGCTCTCCTAATTTCTTTCTTAGTAGATCCATTAGTCGTGTTAAGGAACTGCTATGGATTTTTGAGTGCTGATTTTGTATCCTGCTACTTTGCGCCTAGGGTGATTATTATCTTGGCTACAGGGGAAGTTGCTGGGCATGTATACGGTCTTTGTGTATGTAAGCATCTCTTTGGTAGGCTGGCCTCAGTCCTTTGGTATACTCAGGAGCACAAGAGCTGCATCACATGGTGCTGGGATCTAATTCAAGTCCTTGTGAGGCAGGCGGTGGAACCACTGAGCTAAATCCCTGGCCCTGTCACTAGTTTTTGAAGAACCTCCATATTGCTTACCCTAATGTCTATACTAAGTTACATTATCCTCAGCAATGCATAAAAGTTACTTTTGCTTCACATTTTCAGCAGCACTTGTTACTTTTTACTTTTCTTTGGATAATAGCCATTCTAAATGGGTGAGATGGACTCTCATTGTAGCTTAGACTTGTCCTCTAATGGCTAATAGCATTTTGTCTTGTATTTCTTCCTCTTCCTCCTTGATGCAGGGATCGAATTCAGGCTCTTGCGCTTGAGAGGCAGGCAGCAATGTGTTTCTTCTTTTGAGAAGTGTTTCTTTAGATCTTTTTCCCATTTAAAAAACTTACATTACTTCTTTTGTTTTTAGCTTTTTTGGGTTCTTTATATATTCTGGGTATTAATCCTCTGTCAAATGAATGTCAAGCATGTACCATGTTTTCTCCCATTCTGTAGTCTGTCTCTTTCTCTGTTTCCTTTGTTGTACAGAAGCTTTTGGTCTGGTGTTATCCTATTTGTTAATTTCCCTTCTGTGTTCTGTGCTTTTGGAGTTCTACCCAAGAAACCATGGTGTGTGCCAATATTTTAAGTTTTTCCTCTAATATTTTGAAGATTTCAGGTCTGACATTATATAGTGACCTCTTTTTCCCTTTTAAAGTTTTTTCTTAAAGTATTTTTTGGGGGGTGGGGTCAGATATAAGTCTTGCTACTTCTGCTTGTTTTTACATTTCACTTGCTTGCAATATCATTTTTCTGCTCTCTCACTTTCAGTCTGTCTTTACAGGTGAGGTGAGTTTCTTGTAGGTGGTACATTGTTGAGTCTTGTTTTTTAATACATTCTGCCAGTCTTTAATTTTGGAGAATTGAGATCAGTTATTGAAAGACATGGACATATTCCTGTAATTTCATTGATTTTTCTTTGAGTTGTTATGACTATAACACAGCAGGGCAGGGCAGAGAGATGAAGACAATGAAAAAGAACCAAAATAAAATCTTAAAAATGAAAAGCTCACAAGTTAGTTTTAAAGAATTCTGTTGAAAGTCTTAATAACAGTCTAGGTCATGCAGAATAAAACATAGCAGAGCTTGAAATAAGTCTTTTTAAATGTTCATTCAGAAGAAAATACAGATGTTCCTCATTAATGATGTAGCTGTTAAATGACTGTTCAGACTTATGACTGAACCATGCTTTTCAGATTTAGGACTTGAAGGCTGTCTACTTTTTGGTATTGTTCTGTATATCTTGTTTATAGAGCCTCAATGTCTTTTTTTGGTACAGTACACCCTGTTTATACAGTACTATAATTTTTGCTGATGGTACTATATAATATAGTACTGTAGTTTTGTGTTTTATGTTCTGTTATCCATTATAGTATTGGGTAAAGAGTTCTGCAACTGAGAGTAACATCATCCATTTGGAGTTTCTTTGACCTTTGTTCTGAATATTATAATATGCATACTATATAGGACAGCTCATTTAGCGACCGATTAACTTAACAACCTGGCCACAGGAATAGAATTCAGACATCACATGAGGAATACCTATAATGAAGAAAGTAAGAAATAAGATGCCCCCTGCCCCGGGAATAGGGATTTCTGTGGCTACAAGGCTGTCACGAACATGGATCACCCTGCAGACTTACACCCTCGATGGTCTAGAAGTGGTTTCACTGTTGTGGTCATTTGGATGCTATCTCTGTCCCTTCCCTGATATTAGAACCTGTCACACAACACGTGGAGGCCTCAACTATTCCCAGAGACACCACCTCTGGGATTTTTCTTCTAGATGAAGAAGCCAGGTTAATGAGGCGAGCTGTCCTCCCAAATGAGATGGACTCAGACATCTTGTTAGTTGTCACTAATGCTGATGAACATGCAATTGCAGATAACTTTTGGATATGTGGATTTTTATTTCTTCTGGGTACAAACACAGCAGTGGAATTGCTGGACCACATGGCACTTCTGTGTCTAACTTTCTGAGATGCCGCTGTACCACTTTACTGTCCTATCCACACCATATGAGGGTTTCCTTTTGCCCATATCTTGGCCAACATTTGTTATCTTTCCTCAGTTCGATGATCCCAGACTATGGTTTTAATTTGTATTTATCCAACCACTAGTGATGTTGAACATTTATTTGTGCATCTCCTTTTGAAAAAATGTCTGTTCCTGCCCTCAGCCCATCTTAATTAGGTTCTCTGTGTGTGTCTACTTGCTATTGTACTGAGGCTCCTATATATTTTGGATATTGATTCCCAGTCGGCTCTCCAGCTTGCAAATATTCTCCCCCATTTCATAGGTTGCTTCTTGATTTTTTTGGAAAAAAAAATTCACTCGAATTCTATGGTTTTTCCACTCTAGACTTGTTTCATTAAAAAAATAAAACAGCTGGGCGTGGTGGCGCACACCTGTAATCCCAGCACTGGGGAGGCTGAGGCAGGAGGATTGCTGTGAGTTTGAGACCAGCCTGGGCTACATAGTGAGTTCCAGGTCAGTCTCAACTACAGAGTGAGACCCTGTCTCAAACAAAACAAAAACAAACAAACAAACAAAAACAGTGGAAAAGTTG